CTCGTTTTTCTTCATTATTTCAAGATGTCGCTGGTGAGAAATGCATCTATTCATCAGTTTAAGAACGAAACTTTCTGACAATATACCATCAATTGATTTTTATTCTAAAAATTGAACAATGTTCGGCTGTTGTATACCTCGGGATCAATCAAAACAAACGAACAAAAGGATTAATGCATCATTAGAACGAGATAGAAAAGAAATGCATGCTGAATCGAAATTACTTTTACTTGGTAAATGAATAATTTTGTCTTTGTTTCATTTAATGTTGACAAAGAAATAAAAATAATTTTTTAGTTAAAAATTTTGATAGAACGTATGTTTTGCTCAAAAAGATTTCTTTGCTTCAATTAGGGTTTTTCTATTTTATTTATTGATTTGTTTTTTTTTTATTTTAAGGTGCTGGAGAATCTGGAAAGAGTACAGTAGTAAAGCAAATGAAGTGAGTGTACATTTAGTTGTTTGATTTTCTTTTTTTTGAAGAAGAAGATTTAATCGATTTTAGAATCATTTTTAATGAAAATGGTTATACGACAGAAGAATGTCTTCGTTTTAAACCTGTCATTTTTTCTAATACAATTCAATCAATGTTAGCAATTTTACAAGCAATGAATCGATTAGAGATATCATTCGCGAATCCTATTCGACAGGTATGTAAAAGATTTGAAAAGACAAGTGAAGCTTGATATAGAAGATCAATCATCTTGTTTGTTTCTTATCGAGGATAGTATTGAAGAAACAACTATACTTCTAAATTTCAATGCAACTTGTTAACTAGAATTTGATCGTCGCTTGGAAGACGCTAAGATAATTTTTAACTATTACGTGTATTCTGTCACTAACATACCTGACACATGTCTCATACAATCCTGAGGACAATCTTATAATAATCAAGTCATCATCGACTGTTACCTTCACAGTATGATCTGTTGAATGCGGGACTAACTTGACGAGTTCCAAACTGTAGGCCATATAGAATAAATCCGCACGTTTTTATATTTCTAATTTTCAAAATCATTGTATCAAAAGACTTTTAATTGTGTTTAATTAGCAATAATTTCATAAAGATTTGAAAGAATTTTCAAAATTAAAAAAGATATTGAATTATTTTTTTTTTACTTGATAAACCTACAAAAGGGACGTATTTTCATAATAATATATTGATTAGTATTTTAGTTACTTAATTAACCGAGCGTCGTTGAGTAGTACAAAAAAAAACTGTTAGCGTAATCCTCATAACATTGAAATTTGAAATACAATGCAGCTGTTGTTGTTAATCACAGGGAGATTGTTTTATTCTATCTATTTTGGGACACATTGCTTCACTATCCTTTTGCATAATCCTTCAGAAACGCAATAAGAGAAGTAGCTCATATGTTACAACGAGACACTATTGATATACAATCTGTGATAAAGCTCATCTGATAGACCCAGACTAGAAAATTTCGAACCATCCAAGTTCTTATCACCAAATACAAACAATTTGAAAAAAAATATCTCGTGCCTTTGGACTAACTATCCAATTTCGATTAGAAAATTTCATTCAGAGTATCACAGTACGGTTCGATGGGTTCTAGTCTATGATCCTATATCAACAGTATTTACCACGATCTGTGATGAGCTATTTCGAATGTGGCTGTGACAAGAGACGATGGATATCCGAATTTATATTTCAACACTTCTTTTTTTGATCGTATTTTACACAAGAGAGATCATTCAAGAAAGTTAAAAACTTGATCTTTATCATTTGAATTCCTTTGTTCACTATCTAAATCGAAAAAAACATGTAGTTTATATATTGCAAATTATATATAATCGATATAAGTTTATTTTAGAAAGATGCTGAACTTGTTTTTGCTCATATTCAATTAGAAGCTAATCATGAAAGATTACCAGCAAATATTGGTAAAGCTATGCAAGCATTATGGAATGATCATGGTGTTCAAAGTTGTTTTTTACGTGCTCGTGAATATCATCTTAATGATTCAGCAGCTTAGTATGTTTAATAAAAAGTTTTCTTACCTTATTTTTTTTGTTTCTTTGTTTTGTCTATAAGCTATTTTAATTCACTTGATCGACTTATACAATCTGATTATATTCCTACGCAACAAGATGTTTTACGTACTCGTGTTAAAACAACCGGTATTGTTGAAACAACATTTACATTAAAAAACCATAGATTTCGGTAAAATTTTTATTTTTCATGAAAAAACTTTCTTATTCATATCTATGAATTAAAGGGTTGTTGATGTTGGTGGTCAACGAAGTGAACGTAAAAAATGGATACATTGTTTCGAAGATGTAACAGCTATTATATTTGTTAGTGCTCTTAGTGAATATGATCTTGTCTTAGTAGAAGATGATAGTATCGTAAGACGATATTAATTAATCTTGTAAATTTTTTTTTTGTTTTGTTTTTTTTTGTTTTAATTTTAGAAACGTATGCAAGAAAGTTTACAATTATTTAAATCAATTTGTAATAATCGATTTTTTCGACAAGCTGGAATGATTTTATTTTTAAATAAAAAAGATTTATTTGCAGAAAAATTACGTTTTTCATCAATACATATTTGTTTTCCTGAATATACTGGTTTGTTAAATATCAAATCAAAAGATAGTTTTGATATATATTTTGTTTTTTTTTTTGAAAATATTTTAGGTCCTAATACATATGAATCTTCACTACATTATATTCAAGAACAATTTGAAAAAATGGATTTGCGTGAAAAACATAATGGTCATGAACGTGATTTATATACACATATAACATGTGCAACAGATACCGAAACAATGCAATTTGTCTTTGCTGCTATATCAGATATGATTATACAAACCAATCTTATTAATGCAGGAATTTTTTGAGAATTTATTCATGTACATATTTGCTATTTATACATAATTAAATAATTAATTACACGAATTTTTTTTTGTATTATTAGTCTTCTTTTGCATTTATTTACTTTTTTTCTATCTCCTTTTCGGTTGTCCTTTTGAAAAATAAAATTCTGTAAAGTATTGTTATTTATATGTCAGTTTAAACATCGATTAGACTTTGATTCTTTATAATGGTTATTTTTTTTTTGAATACGCTCTCTTCATATGAATATATCGGCCATTTCATCCGTTGGCGACGTAACTTCGCAAAATTAAAACATGTGTATCTTTGGATAATGAACTTTCCTAGAGCTAATTTATTTATGTTATATGTATGTCAAATTATTTTAAATGCCCTGAAAACACCAAAGGATGGAGAACTTTGTTCAGAGAAATTATCAGTAAAAAACCTAGTGATAATGACATGTCGACGTTCACTTCATGTTCTTTCAGCTAATACCTAATTAAACTTAATTAGTTATTTTATTTAAGTGTAATTAGTAAATAACTCTCTGATATTATGACGGACAAGCCTAAGTATTTTAGCATAAATTCTATACCATAAACTATATTTATGCAGAGATTTTCAGTAAAGTTGGTCTTCTAGACATCTACTTATATTCCAGAAAGGGATTTTTTGTTTTAATATCATCTCAAGATGCTCAATATGGCTTTGTACTATTTAGAAATGATTTTTAAATTAGTCATTCAATTACAAGAGGATTTTTCGTTTCTTCATTCGTACTCACTCATGTCATTAACAATGAGCGATTTTCATCTTTTGCAAAACTTAAGCATACTCACGACAACTTCTGCAGAGAAATGTTGAAATCTAAAAGGTTTTCAAAAATACTATTCGAACTTGTAAAGTTTTTAAATTAAAACGTACACAATCAGAATTTTATTTCTTTCTGTATCACGTCACTAACCCAATGATATTGCTCATATTCTTACTCTAATTACTAATTAACAAGATAGTACTCATAGTAGTTGATGAACGTTGTTTCATTTACATTGAAAGATAATGTCTATTTGAAAGTTTTTTTAGATAAAAAACAAAACCGAGAGAGCATGACATAAAGCAGAAACACATTTTGGTTTACTTTTAATTAAACTTGTATTACCTGACACAGCCAGAAACCAAGATTTTAATAGAGAAAATGATATTATGACACGCTTTAGATAGAAGAAACAATCCGGATTTGTTGTAATCATTATATTTATCTATTAATAGCATTTTAATAGGTTTACATTATATCAAAATGGGGCCCGTTGACATGGATGGGTCAGCTTTCACATTCTTGAAATCATGCATCATGTTTTCTAATACAACTGATGAAACATAAAGTTCTGAACGAAATGTACTTAACTTGATTAGATTTAAGTACATGGTAGGTGCTTTTGCTTGCTATTTCTCACATATTATTATTATCATTCATGAGTGATAATCATTGACCTGTATTGTATTCAGAAATTGAATGGGAAAAAGCAGACATGATGAGAGGTTATTAAATGTAGTTTTATAAGTGATTTTAAAAAACTAGAAGTTAGTATCATGCAACATATGCGATATTGAAAACTTGGAATTAAAGAAAACGTTTCAGAACACAGATAGAAATAAATAAAAATTTTCAAATAGTATCAAATCAAGTAATTAATTAGAGAAGGCTTTTTAAAATGGTTTTCGTAGTACGCGTCAACGATTGAACTAGCTTCGAATGATTTTTATATTATAATAATGGCGAAAAGGTGATAAACAATTTCTGAAAATATAAAATTCTTTGTAACGTTCAATCTTCATAATATTTTCTGCTGAAAACTGGTTAAAAAAATTTCAAAATATATCAATACATATTGTTCTTTGTCGGCGATTGAACGATACTAGAACTAGAAGAAAAATATTGAAAATGCTGAGAGCAAGTTCTCTTTGAAAACAACTGCATTTTCGAAATGATAAGATTTGAGAAAGTGTGTATCAACTATAAAATTTGTCATCATTTGATTTATTTTTAAAGAAATTGTTTTAAATTCTCTGACAATCTATAATGTTTCAGAACTCTCTATATTAAATATCCTTATTTATAAATATGTTATAGAGAGGAACTATGTTAATAGAATTGTTATCGTTATTGAAGAATACGAATAGAATCTCCTTTCGATCCTAATTTAACGACGGTTTTCCAAGGAAACGGACAGCTAACAACGTCAATAAATAATTGAACTAGTCGATTAGTTCGATTATGTTGTAACTGAATCTGTCGATTATCACAGTCTAATGTTAATATTACATCATCACCTGTTGTAATGAATTTATGATCGTCACTTTTTTGAGCTTCACCATTTACTACAGCTCTAGCTAAATCCCACCATCCATTAATAGATTTATCATTTACATTATCTTGTGTTATCTTTGTATACGATGGAGTAATTCCGAAAAATATACGTGAATTTCCAATTTTATCAATTCGATAATGTATATGATGTGTTCCAGATGAATAACGATTACTACCGTAAATAATCGGATAAGAAATAAACATTGCATTACATGTAATAACAAGACATTCTTCGGATGTTATTGCTTTTCCAATAATTTCATCAAATCTTTCACTAGAAGAAACTGACTTTTCAATAGCAAGAATATGATCTTGAAAATTTTCCGAAGCGAGATAAGAAGAGCGATATTGTTGTTGTTGTTGTTGACTATGTACACTGATCAATGGAATTATTAATTTTAATGATTCATCTTCAGAAATAGAAATACTCGATGATGATTTAAACGTCTTACGAAGTATTCGTAGTTCTTGAGTCCATTTTTTAATATCTATTTCTGTATAATCATCGAACTCTCGACTTGATCGAAGTTCTTCTGTCAGTTTACTAATGGATTTCTCTAGTTCATTTTTAGTACGATCAAGTAATTCTCGAAGTTCAGTTCGTGCTGTTTCTGCTGCTATTTGAATTTTATTAATAGATTCTTGTTCCCATGTATTAATTCGACAAAAAAGAGGATGTTGTGTTATGTTGTTATCTAAAGATTGTCGAAGAAGATCACGTTTTTGACTTATAATTTCCATCTGATTGGCAAGTTCTTGTCGATGTTCATTAAAATGGTTGATACAATATACTTGTTGACAGCCATTACATGTCGTTATTCCAGCAGCTTTACTGCATTTTATACATGGTGGTTTCATATGCATTGATGCCATTATTATACTTATATAAGATAACTAACAATATTCTATAAAAAGAAGAAAACAATAGTAAACTCGATTTTTATTAATTTGTTGTTCTTTTTACTTCATTTTAATACAATACACATTCAAAACTAACGTCAATCACATGGACTGAGTAAATACTTTAGTTTATTAACTTTCAGAGAGAGAGAGAAAAAAAAAAACATTTAAAAATATGACTTGCAGAAAAGTAAAATAAAATGCATCACAAACGTTATTAAGAAAATGTATCACTTGTTGATCTGTTAAGCATTTATTCAGTCGATTTGTGTTGTGTATGAAGCTATATATAATCGACTTCATTAAATACATATACTACTACATGTCTTTGTTTGAGATCGATCGATGATTAAGAATAGATTATAGTTGAAGGCGAGATTCAAATTATATTTTCAAAATATATTACATAAGATACTTTGTTTCACTCAATACCACACCTTTTATATTAATGTGAAATTTCGAATAGAATAAATCGATTATAATTGTATGGAAATGTTTTCCTTCCATAATCGAAAGATAATTGTTTTTTTTAATGGCGTAACTAACCGAACTGAGCTAGAAGATGACTGAATCTTTCTTCCCTTATTGATCGCAGCGATATTATTAGTTAAAGTCTGTGACAAGCTCTTCAAGTCATCGACGAGTCTCGAATTTTAGGAAAAGGAAGTGATGCATATTTACGATCAATATAGAATAGTGACATCTATGTCATGTTCAAAGTATATGTTCATTGGTTCATTCAAGTAAAAGGCACGAAACAAAGACGAAAACGAAACAACTATCAATATTTCGAAAAGAAAAGAGAACCATTTGCTCATCGAATTTTTTCTTCAATTTGTTTGTTTTTTGTAAGAAAAAAAAAAGAGTAAAGAACAATGTCATTCAACACATCAATTCAAACGTTAACACTTGCTTGGAATGAGAAACGTTTTAATGAATCAAAATCTGCACGTAATGCAGCTCGTCGTAGTATTTTTCGAGCAGCATCTAGTAAGTTACAAAAAAAAAAAGAGAGCAAGATTCGAATTCAAACATTTCACCTATATTCTAGTTTTACTTAATACTGAATTAAAAATTCTTCAAAGTCAAAATGATGATATTCAACATGAAATCAATCGTTGTCAAAATGATCTACAAAAATATGATAATAAACTACAAATGCTTGATAATATGACTCAATTAGCTACACAATCACTTGAAATTTATTTTCAAGCTGTAAATAATATTTTTTTGAAGAAAAACAAATCTAATAGATGAGAAATTTTTTTTTTTCATTAGCGTATGGAAAATTTACGTGCATTTGTTACTGAACAATGTCGTATTATATCTGATGGTATTCAAGAAGAAGCTGATCATTGGAAAGAGATTCATGCTATGTTACAACAGTAAATTAATATCAAAATCATTTAGATTGATTTTATTTATTTTTTTTTTTTGTATAGAAAATTAGTTGTACCAGGTGATTTACGTTCATATGGTGGCGGTAATGGATTACCTCGTGCTGTTAAACAAAGTCCAAACTTTAGTCAGATTGCTGAAGAAGAAGAGGAGGAAGAGATGGAGGAAAAAGAAACTGATGTATCTACATTGTTGGTAAGATTATCATCTCTACATCATGTTTATATGAGAATGTTATAAAACAAGTTTTGCTTTTTTTTTTCAGCAATCACGAACATTAACACCATTGATTACTCAAACATTAAAAAGTCAGTTATATCAAATGCAATTGACAAATATTTTCGAAGAAGTTTGAGTTTAAATCAAGCTTTTTTTCGGCTTCTATACCCTCTGTATTTCTTACCAAGCGTCTTGACAAAGAGAAAACTGACATTCACAATTAGGCAAACAAAGAATACAACATTAGTAAAAAGAGAAAATTTCAGTTTGACATGCAGAAATAGATAAGACGGAGTATTTTCTTAGTGACTGATGATCCTTGGAAAACATTATAGGCTGTTAGAGACAGTGTTCTATTGAGATTTTCGTAGATGAAATGCTAACTAAAAACTTTTTATTGTAGGATATCTTCTTAGAAATAAACTTATTTTTCATTAAATTTCAGTCTCTCTACTAGAATAGATTATGGGTAAAGTATTTCCAAAGTACTCATGAGTTATAATCAATTCATCGGTCAAAAGTACTTTTTACGTAGGCCAGATTTTCAAAATGAGGATACAAGTTAACATGTCGGAGTAGTTAGTCTTTATTACGTTCTAGCCTTAAGTATCTGCTGTGTAATACAAAAACACCACGTTTATATTGAGACAATATTAAGAAAAGTTTGCCGGCGTAAATAGTATATTCGAAAGAAGTCTGCTTATGTTACCTAATATTTTTGCACTATTCTTCAAGGTTTATTAGATGACGCATATGCAGATTTAGGATATTTCTCTTACAGATGAACGTTCACAAGAGTCAAATCGCTTTTGAACTGAGGTTATGTGTATCGTGTAGGTTCTAATGAACTATGAATACGCTGGAAAGAGTTCGGGCTAACAGCTTATTGCTGCCAAGATATTGTCTTCAGTAGAACACCATTTTTTCAACAAATGAATCTCCTGAAAAAATTTAAAATAGTTTGTATTAGTAAAACGAACCTAAAAACACATGTGAGTTCGAGATTTTAGTCCGAAATAGGTTACGTTGACAAGTTTTTCATTCGATTCTTTTAATATATCTAGAAGCTCGTTTACTTGCATCGAAATTGTCTCAGAATGCATCATTCAATATTCCATCAGAATTGAATATGTCAAAAACTGTTCATGAAGAAACATTAATCGAAGAACCACCAACAACTTCCATTGCATTGAATGATCATGTTACATTACGTGATGTTTCTGCTATTGAAAAAGCTATTGAAATTGATCATAATATACCTAATCCTGAATTATCTATGTCACTTTTACCATATATTCCAACAGCAAATCTTGAAGAAGAAAAACAAAATAATAAATCGATTGCTTCAACTATTTCCGATAAGACATTTGTTAAAACATCTCTTAAACAATTTTCATCGGATGAAGAAACTGACGATGACAATGATGATGATGATGAAGATACTGTTATTGAAGAAAGTTTTATTACTGATAATATTGAAAATACACGTCCATTATTATTAACTGCTGATCGATCAATTCGTAGAATAGTTACACCATTACGACAAGTAAAACCTTTATTATCAAATCAATTAAGTATTGAAAAAACAAAAATTAAACAAGAAAAAGTTAGTTTTCGAGAACCATTACATATTGAAAACAATCAATCAGATAAAACATTATTAATTAATAATAATTCAGTTGATATGGAAAAATCAAATCATGTTCGTTCGACAATTATTAATAATCATAGTACTTCAAAATTATCACCAATTAAATCTGCTGATTCGTAAGAAAATTTCATTCGTTTGATATTGTTTTAAGTAATATTTATTTAGAAATGAGGAAGAAGAAAAAGAAGATGTAATGCAAAAACCAGAAAAAACACTAATCGATGAAGAACTACCAACAAATGAACCAAAAATAAACAAAAGTCCATGTGTTGAACAAATACCTGTATCAATACCCGTTGAAAATTCTACAAAACGAAGAGCTACTCGTCGAACTACTATTCGACTTCTTCGAGAAAGTCAAAACGGTAAGAAATTTTACAATGAAATAAACATAAAATCAACAAGTACATAAATAATAAAAAACAATTCTATATATTCAGTCTCCTTTAGTTCGTCGTACTGATTCTCAGTGAAATTCCGCAGTTTCAAAAGAAAAACTAGAGCTAGCACCGTTAAATTATCAGATAGATACAAAAATTCTTAAATCTATGTCGAGATATCTTCATTTTTTCATTCTTAGTATTGAAGATTTCAGTACATATGTATAATAGTATTCAGATCAATTACTGGAATATATGATGTCTTTCATGTGCACGATTTAATGGCTTTGGTTTCATGTGATATTTTAGAAATTGTCTAACTCTCATCCTTAGTGATAGAGGGTTCATCAACGGTTTTATTCATAAGTAAATCGTCAAATCGGTATTGTGTAAAGCTACCACTATTGACTTCGATAAAGATATACACTATTGGTCAAAAGGATCTCAGCCATTCTTAGGGATGAACATATGAAATCTTTAGCGTATAGATTATCTCAGAGTGTGGGTGTGCTAGTGTATATTTGAAGAGAAGACCGATACCTGTCCATAGATCATACATGCTTGTCAATTTAAGCGATCGGAATCGAATTATTTTCGTTCACCGTAGATTTCTAGCTTAGAGTACATAAGTTAAACATTTTAAACTTGTAATCGTAAGAATGGCTACGCTTACAAAGGGATTCTTTGAACCAATAGTGTATTTCTTTATTGAGATCAATAGTACTAGTTGAAAAAAGTAACTATTGGCGATTTCCTCTTGAAGAAAAACTTTGAAAAGTCTTCTATCCTTGAGGCAAAATTCAGCTCAATTGATTAAACTACCAACGACAAAATGGTTGCGATACGTATTTTTGATGGATACCCCCATGGGTAGGTAACTGTAAGTTTACTCCATAAATCAAGATACTAGGACCAAAATACTCATAAACTTTGGCTATTTCTAACGACTGGTGAACGGTAGTTGCCGTTTTACAACAAACGAAAAATCTTTTGAGAACATTGTTTTTTTTTTTGTTCATTGGACTCTCCATTAAAAATACCATTCACAATCATTTTGTCGCTAATAGAAAGCAGGCTAGAGCTCAATTATTTATAATTTATCCCGTGTAAGTTAAGATTATTTTTATTTTAGATAATTTACCAGCACAAGCACCCATAGAAATTCCAACAAAAACTCGTTATGCTACTCGATATTCTACTCGGTATTCTACTCGATTAGCAACTACGGTTACTAATGATGATGTTACAATATCTCGAACATCAACAGTTCATCGACGAACAACACGTTTTACTTCTGAATAACAAGAAAAATAGAAAATTTATTG